AGAACTATCACATGATCCAGCAATCCTACTTCTGGGTCAAATTCACAGAAACACAAGGTAGAATGGTAGTCACCAGGAGTTTGGGGAAGAGGGAATTATTGTTTGCTGGATATACAGTTCAGGTTTGCAAAATGAAAAAGCTGTGGAGAGCTGTTTCACAGCGTGAATATACTTAATGCTACTGAACTATACACTTAAAAATGGTTACGATGGTAAATTTTGTTTTTTACCACAATTAAAAAATTTAAACATAAATTTTAAAAGTTAAAGCTTATTGAATTATCCATGACTCATTGTAAGAATTATTAAACACACATGCACACAGTTGTAAACAAAATAAAAAACCTATTAGACTAATGCCTAAAAACTTCCGAAAAGTAAATACTCTAGATTATACAAAAGTAATATTAAAAACATACAATACTACTTACCTCGGCTTGTCTCTTTTTTCTCTTTGTCTTTCAAAATCTCGTCCTCTTTCCTTTGCATCTCTTGGTTTTTCTTCTATCCTGTCTTTTACTTTATACTTTTCTTTGTATTTTTTCCCCAGAGCAATATCTTCTGGTATAGGAGGGGGTGGACTTGGAGTGCGTGGTCCTTTCTTTTTACTTTGGTTGCTTTTTGAATTCCTGAAGGTAACACAAAGCTGTCATTAGACGTTCGAATATTTCTGAAAGGCCAAATGGATTTTTTTAAAGCACTTTTTAAAAATGGCAGCATTCTTTTCAACTACTTGCCCTTTACTATTTTGTATGAGTAACCAACATCCAGGAAAAAAAAGTAACTAACAAAAACGAGTAAAGAATTAATTTAGTTGCTACTTATTTTGCTAACACTGCTTATTATTACACAATTTTTACACAATTATTACAAAATTATTACATAATTTTAAAGGCTGGATTTCTGAGAAAAGATAAGAGGTATAATAGGAAGGGACTTTCAAAAAAGAAAATAGTATAAAATGACTGCTTGAATTGCATCTTTTAAAGCTTACATAGACAAACAGAGAAAGAAAGTAAAATTCACCTATGATTCTACTACACAAAGATAACTATTTCTAACATCTTGCATATACTTCCACATCTCTTTTTTTTTCTAACTACTCACCTAAAACTGGATATCCACATGGAAAAGAATGAAGTTAGACCCTTACCTTGTACCATATAACTCAAAATGGGTTAAATGTAAGACCTAAGAGTACTAGAAGAAAGACCTAAACAACCAGAAAATACAGAGGAAAAGCTTCATGACATTGGACTTAACAATGATTTCTTGGCTATGACACCAGAGGCACAGGCAACAAGACCAAAAGTAGACAAATGAGATGACTATACATATGGTCACAACTATTTTCTCATCATTAGAAATGGCTGTTAATTTCTCTGTCACACATATTCATGAAATACCCTATTATAATATTTTGTAAGATTTTTTTGTACCGAACATAAACTTACTGTCAGCATCTTTTTCTACTATAACAAAAAGTAGATTCAGGTAATCATTTTTATAGACTACACAGAATTTCCTTCAATAGATGCTCTTTAATATCTTTCTTTCTTTCACTTTTTGAGGCAAAATCTTGCTTTGTCACCTGGGCTTGCAC